ATCTCTATTTGTTGCAAGCAATAAGCTCGAACCTCCGGCAAACAGTAAATGGAGGTAATTTTTATTAGTCGTACCCGATAAAAATGTACGAATACACGATCATCGATTTCTCTCGCGAGCAGATAAAGATTCCTCGGTTGAATGTCTCTTTATTATGATCAGTAAATTTCGTTTTCCTTAATTTGTCGCTGATGGCGTTACCAAGCAAGAATATCCTGCGACTTTCTTTTCGTGTTCGCATCTTTAGACCATCCACAACATCAACGATTATCTTTTGCAAACAATAGGTCATATGCAATTTGACTTATCGATGAACACACTGCAAAAACCATTGCATTATCGCTAGCCTTCCCAAAGTCATACTTCAGATTTTTTTACTTTGATTATGGTCTTTTTGCTGACCTACTTTATCAAAAAGCGATCTCCAGAGATCAGATTTTTAATTGACGTTAAAGCTTATCATCTTATCCTATGTCTCACATAATTAGCCATCAAAGCTATCTTATTACTCCTTTTTCTCTCTATTTCTGGCGGTGGTCGATGTGCAAGGAAAATTGCTGAGTCTCTCGTGACGCTTTATTATGTGGTCGTATCTACATTACTGCCTACATTATGGACTACTCACAACTTACTTAGTTTTCCACGACAAATATTATGGATAAAACCGCAGGAATTAAACACTCTGAGCCTTATAAGTAATATTTTAACTAGTGACTTCAACGTACGCTTGTGTAATTCTCTAGAGATCATTGCAAGTTTTTATACCGCATTGTGGCATATCATGGAATGTGTTAGTTTTTGCAGGCAGATCAGCCTCACTTCGGATTCTGGTTTCCATCACGAGTCTTTCACCTTGGTGCTATGCCAATTTTGACGCTGTCAGTAGCTTGGAATGGTAGACGAATCTTTGTGATGGACGTAATCGTTGGTATACGATCTACTTTGTATCGGTATAGCTCCAGTATTTATCATTTCTTACACGTATGATCCAAACGACAATACTAGGAGGAAACCTCGGGTCTTGTAACTAGACCAACATTTCACAATCGACTATTTTATTGCTGCATGAATTTCGCACGATTCATCAGAACTGTTCCAGTTGTTGTCAAGACTTTGCCATACCGGGAGACAAAGTAGCTCATGGAAACAAAGACTTGAGAAACCCATAAATCTCATTGAACGATTAGCGCATGAGTTCCAGGTAGGATTTCGATACACTTACCGCAAGCTCTTAGTTTAAAATAAGTTGTGGTAGACGTTATGGCGCTTCGATACTACGTATTCTTCCAGCAGCAGTGAATTGTCCAGTTTTTGTATCAAATCTCTCTGAATGGTCGAAGTCCCACAAAGTTAAAAAGAAACCGCGCATTTCCCGCTTAAGAGTGTGATAAGGAGCTTTACGTGAGTGACTGGTGTAAAATTTTCGTCTCAAATGATAATCGTTCGTCTGACGTGAACCAGCTGTCGTCATGAAGAGGAATGACTCTTTATGTCCAAAGTGCTAGTCGGAGGGTAGACCGATCATATGCGGTACCGGGCTTAATCGCTAAAAGTGTTCTTTCTCCTTCATCGCGGTGACGATACCCATGAGTAGTGGATGCCATCCGTATGGCGATGAACGCAAAATGCGAATCGATCAAGTCTTTCTGATACTCATTACATCGATAATAGAGTTTGTAACAACGAAGATTACCACTTACCTTACCAGCCCGAGCCAGTGAGTAAAACGTACGGCTGGGTCTTATGCTGGTCTAAGACCAATATGCTGTGCTGAATACGGATTCATTCTAGACATAACATTGATGGCGATACAATGGATCCATCCGGTCACAGTCGCAAGACAATCGCACTATTAATTAATATAGATTTACATTCACCAAACGACTCCGGTCGGTTATAGCTCTTAGTATTTATCAGTCTGTCACCTCTGGAGGACCTTCATCCGTTGAGCGGTAATGTTTCCACAAAGAATTATCGGATAACTATGACCTACTTTTGTCTCTTCTTGATATGAAAATATTAAAGTCGAGCAATATTTTACCATTGAACTTAACTGTTTTAGTGAATATTTTGTAAGGTGACACGGGTTGAAGGCTTGACCAGAACGTGACACGATTTGTATGACACACTTGAGCAAGAAATGGTAAAATGTAGAATATACGTAGTTTATGAAATTAATAGTTCGAGTTCGTCTACAATTCATGCTGAATAACAGCTCACGTTTACTGGCCTTCTTGACACCGTTAACCTTTACGTGCGAGAAGACGGATTTGTGCACATTTTAACATATCGCTATAGCGGCAGCGATGCGCCGCTCTTGCACAACCACGTAATCTCTCCATTGGCCACACGGTCTTTAGACACGTGCTGTCGCCACGACTGGCACCTAACGCGATTACGATTAAAGAGCTGTAGCTCGCGGTTTGTGTTGCACTTGATTATGCTCTGGGGGAGCTATATCAGAGATGTCTTCACTTCTTTTGTGGACATAAAATTGACTAGAAATATGTAAGCATATGTATGTGTAACATATGTTAATATATATATGTATGACTACTTTTATGATGGTTGGAACACAGATATGCACCAAATGTGGAAGAAGAGGCATCACGATGAAGGTACGCCACCGCGGGTTTATCACTGCTTTTGTACCAGATTCAGACGTTGCAGACGTCAAACAAGCTCGAAAACCGGCTACTTGTCGCCGCTCGGCCACTTGTTTGATCACGGCTGTAACGCACTGTGTAACGGGGTTGCACGAAATCATGGTACTTTGTACCAGAGGTGTTACACACCTGAAGGTTCGCTTCTGTGAAGGTGATATAGAATATCTTATCGGTTTGTAGGGGCTGACGAGTGTCAGCCATTAGATACGAAAGATCTTTGAGTAGGATTAAGATATTCTATAGGCTTTAACAAAAATAAAATCAGTTCCCATTTTGATCTGAAAGACACGTGGCTTGCGAGCCGTCTTGATCGTTGATCTCTGATCACTAAGAGTTAGCGACACCTCCTTGAGGTAGCTACTCTTGAGCACTAAGTGCTGTCGATTCACTGAATCGTTAGGTCCCCTGGAACAGGGATCTGAAGCTATAAAGCTTGTTGACTCGTAAAGTCGTTAGTTCTTTAGAACTAAGTTGCTCGTAGAGCGTTCAGTCTTCCTCTGACTTAAGGAGCTGTGTAGCTCCGCTACACTTGGTAGCACTCGTAGTCAATCTACGCCTGAGTCTTTAAGACTGATCCTCTGTGAGGATGGAAAACATCACTCCCTTATCTGAGGCCCAAAAGGTCGCGCTTGATAAGCTGACCGCATCTTTGGGTCCAGAGTACGTGGAGTTCCTTGTTTCACAAGGTCCTGAAGTGCTTAATGCACGTGTTGAAAGCTTCATGCAGTATGAAGCGACCCTTTTAGGGCAGGTCCAAGACCAAATAGCGTCGGCTATGCCTACACGCTACGTGTCTGTACCAGACGAAGAGGCTAAGCCTCGTCCACTTAGAGTGGAAGTAAAAAACTACTCCGGTAAGGAGGGCGAGAACCTCATCCTCTGGATCCGTGAGATCGAGATGGCCATGAGATCAGGCCTGATCACGCTTGACCATCAACAGGTCTCGCTGGCTATCTCGAAGCTCGATGGTAGAGCTAGAGAATGGGCCTTGACGTGTAGCACGTCGGTGGACATAGCGTTTCCCACATGGGAGTCGCTCAAGTTACAATTGGTACAGGTGTTTTCTCCACATAACCAGGCTTACCGCGTGCGCTCACGCTTTCTTTCTACCCGCCAGGGTAAGAATGAATTATCGGACTATGTCCAAGAGCTGCGAACGCTCATGGCTGCAATGCAGTCTGACCCTTTGCCTGAAGCAGTCCATATGACTATCTTCATGGAAGGTCTACGTACTGGCATTGCCAGGACCGAAGTTTTTCGGGTTCACCCCTCTACGTTTGAAGAGGCTGTGAGAATTGCCCTTAATGCTGAGCATAACTTCAAGTCGGCCAGACTTGGTTGGAACGGATACAATCCTCGCTCTGTGAGAGCAAACTATTCGGGTACCACTGCCTATAATAGGCCGGAACCGATGGATCTCAGCTATGCTGAAGATGGAGGGGAAGCTGAGCTTCAAGCTGCTGAGCAGAAACACGTTGTAAGACGATGCTTTACGTGCGGAAGCACTAAACACTTGCGGCCTGGTTGCCCTTTGCGTAAGCAACGCCAGACTACGAGCCAACACTCGAGCCCGAGTCAGAAGTCTGGCATGGCACGGGGAAATGCCGACACCCAGTAGGCGCGGGGCGCCCTACTGGGGAAGAACTATGTTATGTTACACCTTTAGAAGGTAAAGGAATGCAGGGCTTAGCCCCAAAGAGTACCATACCTACGGGTATGGTGCGTGGATACAAGTCTGGCTTGTTGGTCGCTGAGGCGGAAATTAAGGGCTTCGAGAAGCCTTGGTCGATATTGATCAATTCTGGAGCGTCTTGTAATTATGCTCGACGCCGTTCCCTTGAGGGAAGTCAGCGTTATGCTGAGGCGCTTACAGCGCATGAGGGTGATTCTATCACGGTTCGTTTAGAGACTGGAAGTCGCGTAACGGTGTCTAAAGTTCCATTGAACTTAGGTATAAAGTTTTTAGACTTTGACAGTATTGAGCGCTGTCTTGTCCTAGATTTGGACTCGAGATATGATCTCATCCTAGGTATGGCTTGGCTTGAGCGCCATGAGCCATGGATTGATTGGAGGTCTAAGACCTTAGGCGCTACGCGCAATGTTCCTAGCGAAGCTTTGGAGAGTCATGAACCCACCTTTGCTAGGCAGCAGAAGCGCTATTGGCGCGAGCCTTTGACAGAAGATGTCAATGTGCTGGATATTGGAATGTCCGAGTTATCTAACTCCGAGGTTAAAAACATAAGTTTCGAGCCTAGCTCGTCTAAAACTAGTGAAACGGCACGTACTCCGTTGAGTGGTACTCGTTGTGATAACGAGTCACTGCATGCTGAAAGCATGGTTGGCCTAGGGCCGAGTGATCAAGGACGTGATTCCTTTGATGTGTGTATGGTGGCACGTGAAATTACACCGAGTGCGGTCGGCCGTGAGAGCACCGTACTGAATGTCGGTAATGACATTTTTGGCCATATGCCATTTAGTGTGGGCGGCCGTGAGGGCACCACGCTTAACGCCGGTAATGGCGTTGTTGGCGATTCGCCATGTTGTGTGGGCGGCCGTGGGGGCACCACACCTAATGTCAGTAATGATATTGTTGGCGATACGCCGTATAGAGTGGACGGCCGTGAGGGCACCACGCTTAACGCCGGTAATGGCGTTGTTGGCGATTCGCCATATGGTGTGGGCGGCCGTGAGGGCACCACACCTAATGTCAGTAATGATATTGTTGGCGATACGCCGTATAGTGTGGGCGGCCGTAAGGGCACCACACCTAATGTCAGTAATGACACTGTTGGCGATACGCCGTATAGTGTGAACGGCCGTGAGGGCACCACACCTAATGTCGGTCAAGACAAAAGCTCTCGTGTAGAGCGTACCATGGTTGGTAGTAACCATGGGGACAATATTGTCCCGACCCCTAAGGGGAGTAAGGTCTCGAAGAGACAATCGAGACGCCGAGTAGCAGCTGTAAAGCACCAGGCGTCCTCACAGTCACATCGTGAGATTAGCAATACACTATATACACTTGTTAATGGAGTGACTGGTCAGGTTAATGGCAACGTGAGCCTCGAAACCCTTCCATCTGTGGACGCTCTGTGTGAGCTAGACGAAATGTCTGATGGCGAGTTTAGCCAGGCCTTGAAGGCAGGAGAGTTATCCGAGTTAGCGGTCATTAGACCTGATACTGAGTTGAATTCTTCCTCGTTAGTGGATGAGTCTGTCCTAGAGGATACAAAGGCGGCACTTAGTGCACGAAGTGGATCTTCGATCCTTAAAGATCCTTTGGATCCGTTCTATCCTTTAGTCAAGGAATTTCAAGATGTGGTGTGTCACAACCCAACTTCTGCCTTACCTCCAGATAGAGGTGTACGTCATGAGATTGACTTGGTTCTTGGAACTAAATACTGTGTAACACGGCAGTGGCCTTTGCCTAAAGAACAGTGCGACGTCATTGACGATTTCTTTCGTGCTAAGCACGCGGCTGGAATGGTTCGTGAGAGTAAATCTCCCCATTCAACACCGAAATTTTGTGTCAAAAAGCCAAATGGCAAGTGGCGTATTGTGCATGCTTACAATAAGCTTAACGCAGCCACTATACCGGCGCAGACGCCTATTCCTAGAAAGGATGTTCTTCAGAACAATATGACGGGATGTACACTGTACAGTGCACTCGACTTAGTCGATGGTTATTACCAACTGCTCATGCGAGCAAGCGATATTCCGCTAACAGCGGTGAGTACTCCGAGCGGTATGCTTTGGGAGTGGCTCGTTATGCCGCAAGGGCTATCTAACGCCCCGGCTACATTTAACCGGTTGGTAACGCATCTATTCAGACCTCATCGAGGCTATGCACAAACGTACTTTGATGACATTTGTGTCCATAGTCGTGCAATGAATGGGCGATCAGATGTGGATAACCACCTTGATCATTTACGAGCTGTGCTCGAGTGCATGCGAACGAATAAGCTGTATGCGAACGCATCGAAGTGCATCTTTGGTGCAGAAGAGATTCCCTTTCTAGGGTGCTTCATTGGGAAGCGAGGCCTTCGAGCGGATCCCGCTAAGGTAAAAGCCATAGTCGATTGGCCAGTCCCCAAGAACCAAAAGGACTTGCGTAAGTGGCTTGGCCTTGCCAATTACTTACATAAGTACAGTGCAAATTACGCAGATATGGCTCGGCCATTGTCCAATCTCCTTAAAAAGGATGTGGGTTGGTGTTGGGGTAACACCGAACATAATGCTTTTGAAGCAGTTAAGGAGAGTCTCCTTCATGCGCCAATATTGGCTTTGCCCGATTCTGGTCGGCCTTTCAGTGTCGTCTGTGACGCATCTGACTTTGCCGTAGGCAGTGCTCTGTTACAAACAGATGTCGACGGACGCGAACGCGTCATCGCATTTGAATCTCGACAGCTGAAAGCTGCTGAAAAGAACTATCCTGTTCATGACAAAGAGCTACTTGCTATGAAGTACGCTCTTGTCAAATTCAGAGTCCATCTGCTTGGCTCCAAGCCGTTTGTGATCTATACCGATCATGCGTCATTGCGCACTGCGACACAGTCGCCTCACCTCTCACAGAGAATGGCTCGTTCGCTTTCTTTCTTTGCCGAATATAACTTCGAGGTGAAGTACAAGCCAGGTAAACAAAACGCTTTGGCTGATGCGCTATCGCGTCGACCTGACTATGAGCTTGCTCATGCTACGACCCTGTCGTCGTCAGTCCCTGACTTAATTCGTGCGGCATATGCCAAGGACGATTAGTGTGTAGCTTTGCTACGTGCTCTTGAGAGCAATGAGTTTAATGACTCGGACATAGAATTGTCGGCACGTTTACGTGCGAGGCTACATCGATATTCCATTGATAATGGCCTGTTGTGCTATCGCACGGATATTGAGGATAAGCCTCGTATCACTGTACCTCATGATAAGGAATTAAAGTATCGGATCCTCTATGAGGCACATGATACTGCTTTAAGTGGTCATCTCGGTCGTGAGAAGACTTATATCTCAGTGAGCCAAAGTTATTGGTGGCCCAAACTTTATAAGTGGGTGCGCACCTATGTGCGTACGTGCGAAACGTGTCAACGGGTAAAACCCTCGGCACATGCGGCGGCGCCGCTGGCTAGTTTGCCTGTACCCAGTGGTTTTTGGGAGTCCATGAGCATGGATTTTGTGTTTGGCCTACCGAAAGATTCGGAAGGCAACACTGGTATTGTGGTCTTTGTTGACCGATTGAGCAAGATGGCTCACTTAGCGGCTGTGCCGGATAGCATTGATGCGGAAGGTACAGCAAAGCTGTTTATCGACCGTGTGTTTCGCCAACATGGCTTGCCTGTGGCAATTATCTCTGATAGAGACCCCCGCTTCACTGGGAAGTTTTGGAAGTCTATCTTCAAGGTGCTTGGAACTCGGTTGGACATGTCCACAGCGGATCATCCGCAGACCGACGGTCAAACTGAGCGTGTAAACCGCGTCATCAACGACATTTTGCGCAGTGTTTGCGCTGATACGCCTAGGCGTTGGAGCTCAATGCTCCCTGTTGTTGAGTTTGCGTTGAACAACGCTGTTCATGCCTCAACAGGCTTTACTCCGTTCTATAAAAACGGTCTCACCCACCCTAGCGTTCCGTTAACGCTATCACTACGTGAATCAGGGCTTGGTGGGGGAGAGGTTGCCGATCGGCTTGCTGATATCAGCCCTGCTACTGTTCAAAAACAGGTAGGCGAGTTTCTCGCAACGCGATTAAATGTCTTAAGACATGTGCGTGACGCAATGGCTGATAGCCAAGATACCCAAAAACAACAAGCTGATGCCAAAAGCAGAAATTGTATTGAACGTTATGAGGTCGGAGACCAAGTACTACTCAATGCTAAAAATCTACCTACAAATGTAGTGTCTGCTGTCTTTAAGACAAAGTCGCGTCCACGCTTTATTGGACCGTTTACGGTCACGGCCAAGAAGGGACTTGCGTATACGCTAAACCTCCCGCGCAAATTGCGCACACATCCAGTGTTCTACGTAGGCTTACTTAAGCCGTACCGGGATCCTTCCCATGTGAACTTGGAGGCGCTTGCGCCGACGACAAGGGCACTGCCCCGGATTGCTGTAGACGAATCAGCAAGTCCAACTGAGCCTCGCTCCGAGTTTGAGCTTGCTCCATCGCCTGAAGGCGGCGTTGCATCGCATCCAGCATGCACTGGGACTTACCCAAGGCATCTTGAAGACCCTTCACTTCGAGAACCAATTTCTCGTGGGCCTCCACCGGTACACCGGCCGCCACCGACTTTGCTCGACGAGCATGGGTGTCGTCAATTCCATGTCGAGAGACTACTGAAACGACGTCGTCGTCAGGGCCAATACCAGTATCTGGTAAAGTGGCGTGGGTACCCTGAGTCTGAAAACTCATGGGAATTTGAGGTACCCCTTCGGCAAGACTGCCCATATGCTTTGGAGGCTTTTGAGCATCGTGGCCAAGGTCAGCTCGAGGCCGAGGCCGTTCACCACCACTAGTGGTGCGGGTTGGCGGGTTGTTGGTCACAGACTGACCAGCACTCGCGGCTACCTTAGTAGCCGAAGCATAGCGCGTGCGCTTGCGCAATTGGCCTCTGGCCTTAAGCTTGGCATAATCATACCGAAGCTTGCGTTCGAGACGCACATCCGCCGCATGGGCACTAGCCCTTAGAGCAAAAATGTTGCTGAGGCGACGCACATAGTGCACCCAGTGAACAAAGGCATCGTCTATTTCACTCGCTGTTTCGCCTGCGAGCAGGAGAATGGGTATACCCTTCATCGGTGGAACTGGTGCACCACGTGCTTGCATGTCAAGGCGTGCCTTGTATTGACTTTGAGTCGTTAGGTGCGGCTCCAGGTACCTCTCACGAAGTGCCTGGCAGCTCACCACCTCCTCAGGAGTCTTAGGCCCATGGCCAATGACCCACGTTGCCAATGTTTGGCCGGCCGCTTGACGCAGACGTTCCTCCACACTGGGTGGGGTGAACACATAGTCACGCTGGCGTTCAAGGGTTGCAGTCATCTGTGCATAACGCTGAGCGTTTTCTTCTCTTTGAACACGAAATTGTTGTTGCTCATCGAGCGGGTTCGCGATGATAGTCTCATCAGAACCAGATGCTGCATGCTGCGCTGACGGCGCGCTCGCACCTCCACGTTCAGCGAACGGATTTGGGGTGTTCGAAAGTTGTGCCTCAGGCATCAGTGAGCCGGACGTTGTCCCTGTGTCACCGCGGACACTGGTATCGCTACCATAGTCCACCTCTTCCTCTATTCCGAGGTAGTCACACAGAGCCTTTGACTCGTTTGGTGATGAGGACATCGTGCTGGAGCGTACGTTACCGTGAGGTTCACCGTACGCGCACTGTTCTCGCTGAGAACACGAGTTCGATTGACGTTTTGGCAAACGTCAGTCTGGTGGGGGAGGGTGTAACGGGGTTGCACGAAATCATGGTACTTTGTACCAGAGGTGTTACACACCTGAAGGTTCGCTTCTGTGAAGGTGATATAGAATATCTTATCGGTTTGTAGGGGCTGACGAGTGTCAGCCATTAGATACGAAAGATCTTTGAGTAGGATTAAGATATTCTATAGGCTTTAACAAAAATAAAATCAGTTCCCATTTTGATCTGAAAGACACGTGGCTTGCGAGCCGTCTTGATCGTTGATCTCTGATCACTAAGAGTTAGCGACACCTCCTTGAGGTAGCTACTCTTGAGCACTAAGTGCTGTCGATTCACTGAATCGTTAGGTCCCCTGGAACAGGGATCTGAAGCTATAAAGCTTGTTGACTCGTAAAGTCGTTAGTTCTTTAGAACTAAGTTGCTCGTAGAGCGTTAGGTCTTCCTCTGACTTAAGGAGCTGTGTAGCTCCGCTACACACTGAATGCGATTATTAGTGCGTGTGCGCTTTCGTCCACAATGAATCACGAATCTACATATTGGGTATTGTTTGTCTCGTTGTAAGGCGTGCAAGCAGCGCGTTCTTATAATGCTGTTTTTACTTTCGGTGAGCTTGTTGTTGTTGCTGTTGTTGTCGCTGTTGCTGTAATTGAGCTAGCCTCTGCTGATTTTTCTTGCACCAGCCACGGTGTTCTTCACGGCTACATTGAAGGAGTACGATGCTGGTGCACTGGGCGCTTCCAGTGATTAATGTGGACTCTACGAAGGCTTGCTAATTATGTACTCAATCTACCGTCGATCGTTGTACATATGGCGGGGACAGCCAAACATCCTCTTCATGAAGCTGAATATAAACCACGTCTTTGTCTTGTTCACGGTCATCTGTGCAATCGTGCAGTGTTTTTCAGCGTTGCTTCAATTGTCTCTCTTGTGAATGCAAACTTGTTGTTTTTGGTGCTGGAGTTTTTCTACAATCGTGTCGAATGTTCCGCGGTCGTCGCTATCCAGCCAATGAAGCACAAGACGAAAGATGGCGCTGAAGCACTCATTAGATTGACGCATTTTGTTGTACTCGTCTTGCTGTCTGCTCTTTAGGTGCTCTGTTCTCCGTCTGATGTGTTATCGGACCATCCACGTCTTCTCATTAACACGGTGGCTTTCGTTTTTGCTAAGAAGATGTTAAGCATTCTGCCGAAAGCGCTGTAGATAACACGTGTATTCTGACTCATTCTTGTAAATTTAGATATTGGGTATGCGGTGTCGCGTTAAAAGATGCAATAGAATTGATGATAGGGAAAATACATGCAGTTGCAATTCAGTGCAATATGTATGCATAGATACACAGATAAAGATCATGTGCACTGTTTGGTATTGCTTAGTTTGTATAGCATCCTCGTAGCTCACGCGCAACGCAACTAACAAGCTATCCAAACACTGATGGTGGCCCCGACTAAACGGACCTCGGCAAAAAAGCTCGTCCTTGCGACAAAAATGCTGGAATGGATTGCGATGTGAACATATTTACTTCCGGTGTTAAAAAACGGCAAGTAGACCGGTAATGATCATCTTGACTTCCCATCTCCCACATCGATACGGTTTGCGATGAGGAGGTCCACTTTCGCCGCATAAATTGATGCGCCTCTTCTTGGATCTGCCTGTCTAAAGAATGTGTTAGGCCGGTAATTAAGAAACGTCGGGTGTAAGAGTGCTGTACTCTGGAATCTCTAGCGACTCAACCGTATCTTAATATGTTGCGACTTTCTCGCAGACACCGACTTAATCTCAAATCACTGGTTTTCTCTTTGAACGTAAATGCTGTGATGAAATGGCGACATGGAACCTTCACTTGCATACATTTCATACACGAGCACACTCAGGCGTCTCAGTGTTGAATCGTTTATGCATCAATAGATGCGCAACACGTAAAACATAGGCAATAACAGTCGGAGCTGAACACAGTTGAGTACTCCTCTGCTGCATTTAATTGAGCCTAGAACTTCGCTACAGCTCTCAGGGTACCATGTCTTTGTTTGCCTATCCATGTTTGAAGCTGCTTGGACCGATTGTACATCTCAACCATCGAAATTGTACCAAATGCCTTGAATAATGTAAACGAAAATATCAGTCTTGGCTTCAAGTTGAGGCTTCTTGCTACAAAGTTTGTGGTACGCCATCCATAAAGTGGAGTCGTCTTGCAGTGAAAATACAATGCCCACTTAAATGCTAAAGTAGACCGTAACAGTCACCAGCTCATTTCCTGACCTGGCAAGCTTAGTGATAGCGTCTTTAGAAGCGGCTTCAGCCGTTTCTATATTGGAAGTCTACACTACCAGTTGTGGCTGATAGCGGACCGTACATTCTTGTCTGCTCTCATCTTTCCTTTGAGTAAAGAAGTCAAGAAGACAAGACTGTATGTACCATGAGTTTCAGTTTGAGGATGCAACAGAAAAATGACGCACTTACCGATAATGTGACGGACGCAATGCATGTTGAAGACACAAAGACTAGTCGCCGCTGATATAAGACCGAAGTTACGATCACTGAAAGTGGGACTTGGCTTCAGTGGATATTCATGGGATATCACGCACTTAAAAAACAATCAGCATTGTTTTTGGAATTTTCAATAGGGACAAGCATCATAGCAGCAACTTGGTTTCAGAAGTTTCCCTCACGACTACTAGAATTTTTTAAGGCCACTGTAGTGGCAATGTTTCATGCGAGTAGCGTCAACACCGTTGACTCCTTTCCTTTTAACAAAAACAGTTAGGATTCATGACCATAATAGTCCTTCTAAAACTTTCAGTCTTGTAGCACTCGATTTCAGTATGCGTTCCGGGATCCAGTCGCTGAAACTTCTTGAGAAAGCTTGGTAAGAGTCGTATTGTCCATGGATCCTCAGCAATCATCTCTGCTACCACAATTCTACTTATGGTACATTGTGCTTCAAGATACCTTATTACAATCCAGGTGCCGAAGCTGGGTAGTGATCTTAAGGTCCGCTGATGATGAGTCTATCCGTTAGCGCGGACCTTGTCGCTGGGTAAATCTAAGTTTATTTCGAGTTGGTATGGCCCTTCCAACAAAGTTGACACGTGACAAGATCGAACTTGTCACATGACAATCGCCCACATCACCCTTTCTTACGCGATAGATACTAATAAACCACGCACGTCCAGTATCAGCACTACTGCGCACGAGGTCGCGGAACATTACACCTCGAGTGTGTACCATGGCGCACTTCGACTGTTGGAAGGCTTACAGGGCTAACCGCATTCATCGCCTCCTTACCACTTGACCACCTCTTTTCCTTCGAGATTGACACGTCAGCGTCCAGCGCGGTGCTCACTGTGAGCTCTTCACAGACCTATTTCACATCTGAAAGACCAAAGCTAGCATCACAAATATGTGGCTGCCAAATCTGGTCTGATTAAATACGATGACACTGAATAGATCATACACGTTCAATGTCACCAAGCTTAATACATTACATAGTGCCATTTTATAGTTGTGCATTTTCTGAAAAAAGGCTTGCGTGATAATGAGCAAACGGATTGGCTGCTGTCGTAAAACTATTTGAAAGTAACTGCTGCTTGCTTACCTGAACAAAAGTTTGATTGACTCTGTCCTTCCGAAGACCAGTACAGTGTTTCAGGGTACTTTACCATGACAAAAGTGTAATAAACAAACCATGTCACGTTCTGGTCAACCTTTCAAACCGTGTCACCTTATGGAATATTCCCTAGATTCTATTAATCCAATTTGAGCGGACCTCTGTACACCTCCGGCACTATCGTACCTGCTAACTACTGACAGTCTTCCCTCTGCTAACATTTAGTCTTGGTAGACACACTTTGGGCAACATGACATCAAAGGCTACTGGTTATTGGATTACGGCGGTGTCATGCATGTACTGTAGTAAAGTCAATAAGTGAAGGGTAAAAAGTAAAATCCTCTACCAAAACCACCTACTCCGCATCCAACCCGATACAAAACTCCTTAAGCCCAAAAGAAAAAGCCCGGATAAAAAAGTGAGAGCACAAACACAAATCCTCATCTTTCTTTTCTCAAACTACGTCAGGATGTGCATCACGGTCAGAAACGTGTAGCCATCCTACAAGTTTGCTGGGGTCGGTGTTTTTTGTGAGAAGCAAGATTTATCTTTTGGCTGACTATCTAATCATGGGCATGGGCTACTCGATTCTATCATGGACGATGAGAGTTCTCAGCCAGAGCATTAGGATTAAGAGATTCTGGAAGCATGAAGGTGGAGAAGAAAGGAAAAGGAGAAGTTGCAGCAGATAAGGAGGCAGTTACAGACAGATTCACCGAGTCCGAGAAGTTCACCATCTTTGGTAATGCCTGCACCTTGTATTATCTGTCTCGAAACACCCACCGCTCTTCCTACAAGCTACTCTTCATGCTTCAGGCTGGCATTTGCAGTACTTATATTACTCAAATAACCCTTGATGCCTAGCTTGAATTTGTCAAGTCCCCCACATTTGGTAAAAGCTCTACCTCTATGCACGTACATGGCCTCTCGACTATTAGTGATACGTTACAAGTTAGCAAACATAGAACGACCAAAGAACGACCGCGGTGGCCGTCCAATCGTAAAAGCTAACAAACGTTATGAGTTACCGGGGAAAAGGTATCAGAGGGAGGACTGTGTAATCTAATGGTCGCTTGGAAGCATAACAGTCTCGTTATGCGTGTTTCATACGACAAGCAATTTGCATCTTCACTTTCACATGATCAAGCATCTGACATTTTGTGCCGCTTGCTGGCGTGATGAACTCGCTTGGTATCGTACACAGAGATCTCGGTGATCGACTATAGAATACAAGAGTCATGTATTGGCAGCTATATGCTGGTTTGCAAACACATTATGTACCACGCGTACTAAAGTAGCTTGAGGTTTTGCGCTTACAGCAAGACAGAATCAAAAACTCTAAACATCATTTTCACACGAAGCCTTAATTCGAAACAGAAAAACGTCGATCGCTGTTTGTTAGAGATTAGACCTTCGACAAGCGTGAGCTTCTTTTTCTCGGTCGTATCGTTTCCGGGAATGGCTCATTGTTTATGGGCTGGAACAAGCAGACGATTCCCCACGTGCCCTGAATGGGACTAACGGTGACGAGCAAAATTGAGGTCGATTGATGTGTCTAGGCATATTCACATGTGGCTTCTTCTTCTTCGCCTTAACAAATTCGTTATACGACAAAGGCGCGGCATACGTGTTGACTTTAAGCCCGGTCGGGGTACATGCTGGAAGAAGTAGGTGAAGTGGCAAGATTTTCTTTTTCGACATCGTAGTGAATGAACTAAATTTGTAAGTCGTGATGACGTATCGTGGTAGAACATTACAATTATAGCGTTTGAACTGTTGTAGTGTAATCTGTCTACAACACGGCTACTTCATCTGTCTTGTAGCCAGAAGTCGTGACACGCGTCGAAACCTTTCGTCTTTGCTTTAACAGCCACATAATTACTATGTTACAGTTGCAGAAGTAGCGCCTTTCCAGGGATTCTCAAATGCTTGACAGTTGGATCCGCCTAGCGGTAAGAGTGCAGAACCTATGTAGACTGCTTGATTCATACTTTAAAACACCTTTGCCTGGTAAGACCAGCCAAGAACGTTCAAGCCATGTTACCGTACATTTTTCCTGTTGTATGGAGGGATGCAACCGGTCGAGAGCTGAGCGGAGTAATCGATATCGAAAGCTCCGACTTTTGTGAAATGGACAACGAGGAGATAGTTGTGCGAGACTTGGTTGACATTTTAAACAGGAAACTGGAGAGCTCCGATAAGGATAGGGAGGTGACACGTATCATGTTGCACGGTATGCGGCTAGACAACGATCTTGCATTGAGTCGTGTTGTTCCGGAACTAGCAGGAAGTAGTCCTCGCTTTATTGCGACGACACAAAAAACTCGCGTCCAACGGGTTACCATGACACTGTTTGTCAAAACGTTGACCGGAAAGACGGTATCGATCAAGTGCTCCCCGGCGGACAGCGTGCACTACATTCAGATGCAAATTGAGGACAAAGAATACATACCCTATGAGCAGCAGCGCCTCGTATTTACCGGCAGGCAACTAGAAAGCGGCTTTACGCTATCGCATTACGATATTGGCAAAGAAAGCACGCTCCACTTGGTATTGATGTTGCGTGGTGGATGTAACCTTCGCACCTTCGCCGATGTCACGGACGGCTCGCTTCTAACTGCGGTGGAATTTTCATTGAAAGCCCCAAAGTGGCGTGTCTGCAGTAGAGGTGTGAATGTTGAAGGTCGTTGTAAGAATCGAAGCTGTCGTGCGTTTGGAAGCATGATCGTTGATCCTAAAGGGTTTGTGCTCTTCAATCTTATCCAAGATGACGTCCGATGCCCGATGTGTCGTTGGAAAGTGGTTCCTGTCACATGTGGGTTATACGACTGTTGCTGGCGTTACGAAGGGATCAAGGCAAGTGATAACGTCTCGGTGTGCTCGAAGTGGAAAGACGCTCGAGGACACGTGTATCACCGCTTCGACTGTGATGAGAACGGAGGGACTGTCGAATGGGAAAGCCTCCTGATGGCAGTGAAGCCAGTAGATGAAGCAGTAAAATGCAAGCTGGTATGTTCGTCGGAATCAACCTCCATCACTCCAGGAGACAAGTGCACAATTTGCTGGTCTCCCTTCGGACCCCGCTCGAAAGATTCGCATACGACCTCGCATTGCGGCCACACGTTTCACCGCGTTTGCTCACAGAAGTGGACTAGGTGGTGTGAGCGCAACGACACCCAGCCAAGCTGCCCTATCTGTTGCGAAATGCGTCGGGACCGACGTCGTATACCTCTACGGTGGTGAGGAGGACGTAAGACTCGTGCTTGCGCAATTGTCTGTTTATTCTGCAGTATTGCGAGGAACGTTTGACTGGTTTGACAACCATGTCTTTCACCGCAATAACTGCATATTGTAATCGTTGAATCCTCTTTACTGCTAAGAATCGCCAGTGGTGAAGGCTCTCGTCGACGTCTGTCAATCTAACATGTGTGTTGCGTTCGTTGAAAAACTACAAGTTCAATAGCAATTTCAAAACGAGATCACCACGTGTGATCTCGGCAAATCTTAGCACTATGCACACTGATGGTATCACACCATTTCGTACGGTGCGACTTCAATGAGGAACCCGGAGTGGCGCAGTGTAAGACAAGACGCTTGACTACCGCCCTGTTTGTGCATTGAATTGCGCAAACTGTTGTCTACCCGCCCTGAAAATGCCCAATCTGAATTTTGCAACTGCTGGTAAGCCATTGTAAAATGTTAATCGTCTGCTGCGATGTCACACCGACGGTTTTGCACTTCCGTGGATAACTGTGGCACACTAGAAGTTGTACATTCTTGTAAGTCATGCAGAATAACGTACAAAGCATTATCTGCTGTCAAATGACATGCCAACGAGTTGTAAGATAGGGGAGCAAGTTCTGAAGCTCTGTTTTAGTGTCAGTAAATCGGTCCATACAACTGAATCAAGTTCTGCATTCCACGTTCCATTTCTAGTGGTGCTAGGGGATAGGTTGTGTTTTGTGTGCTGAAGAGAGTCGTGGGTTGGAGATCCTTGTTTTTGCTGTTGACGATCTTGAGAGACGACTGGCAGACAAAGGTAGACGAAGGATAGTCCTGCTTAGCAACGCAACCAATTACAAAATGCAGTCGACGGCGTGTCATTTATTCACAATAAAAAGAAGCTGAATGGAAGGAGCTTCCACTGCTACCGAGAGAAAACCGTGACCATCACGTCTTACCCACTTCACACCTATTGTTTGCGAAAGGTAGCAAGACTTTCGAGACTTTTGCTGCCCCATGGTGTCTATGCTTTGCTTGTTATCCCTCTGTTCGCCGTTGGTCGCGATTGAGCCGATCAATCACGTGCGGGTGTGGTGTGTGAATGAACATTGTACACTTCGCAGGCACAATTAGTGACCTGATCAAAGAGTGGCAGCTATTATGCATACCTACTAATGAAGAGGGGACAGGCTTCATCTCTTTTAGTATGCCATATTCCAATACACCAAGCGTTGCTTCCAGAGACAGATAGATAGACAGCAAGTAGGGTTTTTAGGTCCGACGTTCACTTTGCGCACAGTCACTAATAGCTTCACACTTCGGTCTCGCAACGTACTGTATGCGTTTACATTACGCATTGTCGTCATCTCGAAACGGCTTTGTCTGAGCTTGAGTAGTCGTTGAGGCATCGGTGGAGCTCGGTCATTGGTACAGCGGACCGAGTGTTCTTCGACACTGCAAGGCACCCCGCGTTCTAGCCAGTATCTTTTTACTTGACGCCACTATGTAATCATTGAAGACAAAGCTACGTTGTAGTCGTACAGATGTCTACCAGAATGTCGACACGTGATGAAAATATCGCATTTAGACAGTAACGTTCGTGTAGACAAAAGATACGTCTACTAAGCACGTCAGGAGGCTTCGCATTGACAGTCAGAACATAAGAACTAAAGTTCCTTGATCATTTAAATGCAATGTCGGTAGGTACAAACTGCTACCAACGTCAACTCAATACACACACGTCAAAGGACTAAACTCGTTCTGTGGCAGATTCAACCTATCTCCTTGTATGCCACAGCTGCATCAATTCTCATTCCATCCTATTGACCAAAGCTAAAAGCTTACACAGAGAACGAGTAAGATTACGGCACATTTTGCTCGTAGCGACTCTTTTGCATGACAGATATAGATCAGGGTATCTGTCAATTACTTTACCGACGACAAAGAAATACGCCGCGAGTAGTTGGTACATCGAGGACTGGTACTGAAAATTGCGTACTCCATGCATCGAGTTGCAGCTTTACTATTGCAAAAGTGACCAACCCAGCTGATCACATGATCATAGATTGACTTCACTAACAAAGAAGACTTCCTTACACTGGTAGAAACACGGGTAATAGCGATGAGAAAGGTGTCTGTCACACGGGGAGACACTGCTGAATCATTGAGTACCACCTCGCCGTGACTATCACCCGGGATCAATGCAGAAGCGGCGCGGCACACTGCCCGCATGAGCTAGCAGCACAAATCGTAGCTAGCATGCCGTGACTGGTGTAAAAGCCTGGCTCGTATAGGACGTTGGCAAGACAGCTGAATGGCTGTAAGGTACCGAAACAGGAAGCTACATCACCGTGATTATGGACAGGACGCTATGTTGGCGCGATCATGCGTTTCTCTCGTTATGCATACAAATGATGTCCCATCATTCGATCCCTACGATGTTCCGACAAGTTCAATATGATCGCGAAGCTCCTCTTCTATCGATTTTGACTAGCACACGACGCCATATTTGTGAATGATGGGCTCGTATTATGGTCGAACAGGTCAATGTTGATGGTGATAGGGGGCAGGTATCAAGCAAACGTCAAGAAACGCTTCACCAGAAGCAAGGTGTCTAAAGCGTTTTTTCGGCTATTATTGAGTCTACCGTTCTCGTCATTTATCCGTGATATTGAGTTGCTATTGTGCGGTGTAGTAGCAAATACAGTGTGATGGCAGCTCTATGAACTGGTCACCTGCACCCGTAGTCAGAGGTTTCAAGCTCGCGAAAGTTTTCCACTCGTGGTCGCAATAACGAGCTCTTTATCACTTTGTGGCTTCAGCAATGACTTGTTTTATCGATAATGACCATCATCCGGTCCACGTAAGACAAACAAAGAATGCAATTGTATTCCTCATTTTTTGGCCCCTTTGTCTCTAGTTGTATCAGTCCGTTACGTAAAGCCATGCGACGTCTCGGTTTAAGACAGGACATTGCGCAAACCACAGTCGATGCGACATCGCATAAAATCTACTACTTTGCGGTCGTGGGATAATAGTATTTTTCAGACAATATCCGGCGATGTCCACTATCTACTACTTTTTCACACCATCATATCACATACCTCATCCCTTCCAAAATAAAAATAAATCTCCACCCACGGAGACATCACAGCGCTGAACTGCTCAGCTTTGAATTACCCCACTTATCATCCAATCAAAAAGCTCCACAGTATTCTCCAGCAGCAGCAGCAGACGGCCAGGTCATCTCTGGTCTGAAGCCATGACTGATGTGTGTGAGGGCTTATTGGCCAAGCTGAACGAGCTCATGGACTTCCTGCACTTTGCCAAGCTGCCGAGCGCCAAGTTCCACGGCGTTGTAGGTCCTTACGTAGTTTTAGTCTCCAATTTACCACCTAAGCCTCTTCTTTGTGCGTTGTTTTAGGTAACTTTTATGTTTCGAGCCTCTTCGGAAGCCGGCAGCTCTTTTGCTTGTATACGGACTATCGATATGCGTCACGGTAGGTTTATCTGTACGGGAACGAACAGTTGTGTTTTTGTAGACGTATACTGGACCAAAAAAGGACTAAACTGACATACTGCATAACAAATGGACCCATTTGTGTGTGCGTGTTTGTGAATCTCTCTCTCTCTGTTATTGTGTTTGTTAACGCAGGGTTAGAGGTGGACAATACGACGCTGCATCCTCAAGACCCTTTTGTTCCAGAGGTAGCGGTCGTCTACGTGAGTCTCGCCGATTTCTTGTACATGTACTCGGGAGAGGCGACAGCGACGGAGATCGCGTCGATGGTCATGTCTGGTCGTGTGTCGGTGCCTTGGAGCTCGTACAGCAAGTTGAAGGCTTTTGCCGAGTGTTTCGACTTTTCCACGGACAAGTGGGAGGCCTATTATGCAGACTTGAAGACTCGCGAGCGTGAGACGAAGACGCTGCAGTGCACGCAGTTATGCTGTAGACAGAGCACAAAAGAGGACATCGAGGCGAATTGGCTGCTGGTGTCGGATGCAACAACGACGACGTCCGGAGGTGGGGACTGGGAGGTTGTCTCGGGTCTGCAGTGCTTGCATGTGCCACAGAAGGAAAAGCTCAAGGAGCTAAAGCAAGGGCACGTATTGACGTCGTTGGAGGAATGGCTATCCAAGTTGTGGCCCAGCAACGGCTCTCGGGTTGACGAAGCGCGTCCGGCTCAGTCCCTCTCGACTCACGTCAGGCATTCGTTCAGCGATCTGAAATCAATGGCTGGGAAGCTCTTCGTGTCGCTAGAAGCTTAGGTTGGAACGAAACCCAATGTGCATTCTTGGGATATGTTGCACCTTGTTTGCCAAATGAACAGGCAGCTGAGCTCTGGCTTTAGTCGTAGCACTTGTGGCCCAAATGTCGACACCATCTGTTGGCATCGACCAAAGGCGGTCGTCAGCAGGTTCAAGCGCGGCTATCCCAAAGAGCGCGTGCGCTTGTGCCAGGCCAAATTACATCCGGAGTGCCCATCCTGATTCGGGGCATCATCATTCTAGGTGGTTTGCAGGTTTTTCAGACGAGGCTTAATCTCGCATGGATTTTACAACCAGTACGTCCAATGGAGACCGACTGCCTTTTCTTTTAACTAATTTGAGCAGCGATGGACGTAATCAAACCGGCCCTTAGGTCAGCACTTCCCGTGACATAGACGACGCACCGACCCACGATTTGTACTGACGTAGATGAATTTCCATGGATAGACGTGGAATCCTTTTTTTAGAGTCAAAGCCCCGGCGGGTCTCCTGCATACAAAATTCCAGTGTGAGTTTGCAGCTGGGATTACTTCTTATTCGAGCAGATAATCGTCGCGCACCTTCACGCACAATGTGCTACCAGTAACTCAGTACATTTGCCCCCCCCCCGCGATTTTAATCAGTTTTCGAGCAGGTAGACACCGCTCGATCGATCGATCGTCCCCCCGAATACTGATAAGGAGGACGGTGGTCGGTCGTCTTCTCGCTTTCGACTCAGTTTGCAATTTGCCACGTCCAGCGCAACCGCTTGACCGCCATCAACCACACGCACCATGTCCAACCCCTTCCACCGTCTCCGCAAGAGTCGGTCTCTTGGCAGCCGCGACGACGTCGAGATCAAAGAACGACGCAGCAGCATCTTCCGACGTCACGGACGATGCAGCACTGGCGACGAAGTCGTCGAGTTCATGCGGCCACGGGACACGATCGTCACCCGCGTGAGCGAGTGCTCGGAAAGTCCGATCGAGAACCGACGTCGACACCGTCGGAACCTCATGAGCGACGAGCCGCCACAATGCAATGGGGCTCCAATGGAGCCATCACCAGTGCCGCCTCAAGTTGCGGAACGTCCTTATCCACGCAGGGAACAATGGGTCGACCGTCCTTCCTATCCACGGAAGGGACAATGGGTCGAACGACCTCACCCCTCACGCGAGCAACAGTGGGGAGGCCGCCACTTCCCCCGTGAACATCCGTGCGTTGGTCGGTTCTACCCTCGCGAGTATCAAATGGTCGGGGGCCGCATCTACCCCCGCGAGTACATGCCGATGGGGGGACCCATGTACGCCCGCGAACGTCAATGTAGTGGAGGCCGGTTCTACCCCCGCGAGCAATGCAGACTAGTCTACTGAGTAGGTAGTAAGCAGCTCAATTTAATGCCCGTTGCGTCTTTCCATTCCACTGGGTGTGTGGCTATGCATTGATTGAGACAGAGCCCCTGGTCTCGACTGACAAGATGTTCATCTGTACCGTGCTTAAAAGTTTACTGCGAAAACCGTGGGAGCTTTTAGGTGGTAGCAACCTGGCAAGGGACAAAGACCTAACGAGACTCTACGCTTGACATGCTGAGGGCAACCAACCTGTGTGAGCAGCGTGTAAGACACCACCTACCAATGACTTTCGTGTGGGTGTAACTCACAGTCGCAAGAGCAGACACTTGTAAGAAGAGAGAGAGCGATTTTCTTGAGATAACATGAAGAGCCTATGCATGATCAACCGCTGGACGTCATAATCAAGTGGCACGTCATCGTCCTCGAAACTGTCTTTGCATTGCTGCAAAAGGCCACAGACTGTTCCGAGGTGCAACTGTCGTAACTGCTCGAGGCTGAGCTGGCGAGTTACTGCGCTCTTCTATCTTGCGGTACCGACAGGCAAAGAAGGATGAGAGGGGCCAAAGCAGCTGGGCCACCCTTCACGACTTTTTTCAGCTGGCCACTAGATCGCAGCTGGGCTTGGAGATTGATTACGTGTCGATTCGCACGGAGTCACGTGTCCGATCAGACTTGTGAGTGAGTGGACTCAAGCACGACGGATCGTAAACTCTCGAGCAGAAAGCGCCACCACTTTTATAGACGATGGTGCATCGCCATCGTCACTCAAAGCGTGGCGTAATCACGTCACACAATAGCTGATGTACGATCGATCTCGTACGCCATCGGACATGTCGCGAGGATCTTGAGGAGCTCCAAAAGGTCACCACACGCCAAAGAAAAAGAGGTCGAAGCGGACGTTGCCCCCATCTCAGCAGCAACTTGGAGCGACTTGACTGCCACAATCACGAGCTGCTCACGATCTTTCGTGCGGCAAAAACACGCGTGCATGATCGAGTCGCAGACAGGCAGGTGTTGCACATGGACGGTCGCGACTGTCGATCCATTCGGTTGGGCGTAATCGCAGGATCGGCTGTCGCCCTGTTGTCGCATTCGTTGAGGTGAAGTGGTCGTGGACATCATGAAGTGACGCAAGATCCAGCGCGGCGCCCGAACGCAACTGATCAATGCTTGTGCCTGGAAGAAAGTCGCGTCGGAGATCGCACGGTGGCGGCTTTTCAAGCTGCGATCAGCCGATGGCTATTGTTGTGGAGCGTAGATGGACCGACAGGTTGTAGAAAGTCACTGCGACCACCAGCGAGGTTAGTAGACGGCAGTCGAACGCCAAATGCTCCGACAGACCGGGGGGGGTTGTGGTGCGCAGTCTAGAACTGTGGTGAAGCTCTGGAAGGCAGCACAAGACAGCGCGTGGTAGACCAACCGATACCAGCACCAAAGTCTGGCTCACGACAGCGAGTCATAGAGCTCCAGGGGTGGCTTGGAAATCGGGTCGTAAGCGGCAGCTGATTCCAGATGTCGAAAGCTCTACAGCACTGCAATGGGGTGTAGAGGACAGCGTAAAAAGACTGCAGCTGCTTGGAGCTGTGGCAAAGCGAGAGGACCTGGGAGTCGACATGAAAAGCCAACGACCGCGTCTTCTGCTTGGACAGAAGCAGGAGATAGCCTGACAACCCTGACAGCCGTCATCTGAGGTGGCAAGCGTCGTACAGACTCGCACGGGGCACCGGTGTAGCTGATCTGGCTCAGGATAAGTCGGACATCCCGCAACCCATCAAGCTAGTACAGACACGTCTGCTCTTCTCGATCTCTCATCATTGACGCGATCTTCGTTTCCACATCCTTTCACGTACAAAGGAGCTACTTGATCTGATCGGCCAAGACGTGGAAGATCTGACCGCGAGGAGCGTCCACAGCGCAACGACCAGTTCAGTCTTTGAAAACGATAGACAGCTCCGATGACCTTCGAGAGCTACAAGAACACACACACTGGGGCAGCAGTCCCCTTGCATGTATCAGAGTCACCCACAGGTGTATCTGCCGGAACAACGTGCGACAGCTAGTAGATGTCTCAATCCCTTCCGCCTCCACTACCTCTCCAAGGCACCTCTAGATGCTCCTGCTTCTCCTTTTGTCACTACAACCTGACGCTACCGCTCAACTCGACGATTCGACTACCTTCAAGCTAGTACCCACGGGAACAAAAGCGCTACTACACAACGTGGTAGCGCTCGTCGTGCTCCTGGTAGACGACGTCGCGCTCGAGGGAATCCATGTCCCGGATACCCAACCCGGCTCGAACCAGTCGCAGGTCCCCTCGACGAGGAGTCTACTTGTTCGTTGTGGCTTCGTCTTCTCGTTTCTCGCTGGCAAGTTGCCCGGTAACATGCAGTCGCAGTCTGATCCGAAGGGCGACAAACGCACCACCGGCGTTTCGGGAAGTGTCTCCACGACCGGCTGCGGTCGATCTCGTCTGACGTCGTTCTTCGGTGCGACAAGTGCTTGGCTAGGACCGAATGGTGACAGGTACCAGGTGGTCGGTGGATGTTATCAGAGAGGTCTTGCGAGTAGTCGACGTCACGTCAAAGGAGACCGAGGGAATCTCTTGCCATCCTTCCTTGCTTGGTGAATTACCAGCAGCGACGTGGACGAGCATCAGCTTAAGCTGGTCTTCGGAAGTACTCGTCTACGTACGTGCAGTTATGGCTGAACCCGTTCCAGTATTGCTGGAGTGGTTGGGGAATCCGTTGCGTGCGTTCTTCTGGTTGTCATCTGAGCAGGGGCGTCTCGTACAACGAACTGTTTAGGTGGAGAGGAGGAGGAGGGTGCAACTGTAACGACTGTGCCTAATGGGAATGCGCAGCTTTTTACAACATTCGAATGCGAAGAGTTGGTCGGTCGTGGTGAGCTGGATGGGCGTCAGATGGCGAGTAGTGAGTCGTAAAAGACCGTCAAATGGTGAGGGACTGGAGCACGTGGAGTGTAACGACGGGAGGAGCTTCCACCCAACTCGCTCGTTATGCTCTTACGTCATGTACACTATGTCAACACGGAGCAACTGTGATGAAGCAACGTTCACCTATCGATCACACGGATCTCTCTTCTAGTCGGTCTTTGGTGTTTAAACGTTGGGAGTAATTTGCTGCTAGGAGACTCTCCTAACTGGTGTTGCACCTGTACCACGCGTCATTGCTCTGGTGGTCGCATGCTTTTCTCCGCGTTGCGAACCTGTGGCTTCGAATATTCTGGACATTTTTACACACTTCCGCACTGTTAAGTAGACAGCAGCTTCCTCTGCTTAGTGATGAATATAACTGCTTCTGACAGGAATGACATGAAAACAGTGCCTGGATGATCGCTTCGAGTCAGATGTTGTCAATCGATTTAAGAGCAAGTTCACACGAAGCGACACGAGCGAATTGTGAAAAAGTCTAAATGCGGCTAAATTGATCGATCCCCACTGATGTAATAATCTCACTAGCGTTTGTGACTACCTGATTTGATCTATTTTGATTCTAGTGAGACATCGCGCCTTGCGAACCAAATCAGAAATCGGGATTTTTCAATCGGATCTGATCGATTCCTCCCCCGGGTGAGTCAACCAAAATGCAAAAGTTGACTGTACCGCTACCGTGTCCACTCCAAACCGTATTCACTTCAAACTGTAAACCCGCAGACAATTTGCTGCCATATCTTCACATCATGCAGCAACAGCTCATCACCTCCAATCATGCATACACGCAACTCCACAGCGCCGCCTCACATCACTCCCCCCAGAACAGAATCATGTTAATCTGCTAGACTCTGCCACAAAACAAACGCTTCCATCCGGTTGCAGTCAACAACTACGCTTCAATTAATTTCAGTTTAATCCCTACTGCCCACTAGCTCTTCACTACCTCATCATCAAAAGCCATAATCCCCACAAGTCCAGTTCATCGACTCCGTGCTGAACCCCATCCGCCTGGATAAAACCTAACTATCCATGTCCCCGTGTGTACCCCAACACCCCTTCGATGTCCATCACGCTGGACGCAGACCAGCCATTCAACCTACTGGACCAGAAGAACTCGCCCGCATCGTTCTCCCATAGTCCACACCAATATAGTCGAAAGCAAAAGCAGGAGCGAGAGGGACAGCAAAAAGAGAGAAGTACCCCCTTTAAAACGGCCCACAAACACCTTCAACTCACTATTCAAATCCGCCTCGAGCGTCAAAAGTGCTCGAATTCACATGTTTGACACGGACCGTACCCCCAGGACTTCCAACGGTTACGATCGCGCTCGAGCAGATGGCGAGTCCGACGTCACTGCTCTCCACTACTGCAACAAGTCCTTGTATGCGAGTCTCATCGTCCTTTCGCTCATCCTTGTGGCGGTCGGCGTCACGCTCGGAGTCCTGTCAAACTCCAGTCAAAGTTCAAATGTGACGTCGACCCCGGCTGAGGTACGAATCAGGTGTCGCCAAAAAAGTCGTTTTCTTGATACTTTAAGTCGTTGTTTTTTTGTACAGTCAGTGAAGGAATGGAGTTGTATTTATCTTGATCTTTTATTGTAGATAATGACCATAATTGCTGACCATGTATTGTGTATTGGATGTTATTATTATTGTAGCACGACACTTCAAGTGGAACTCAAGACAATACCCACGTAAGTTTCGACAATTTTACGCACATGAATCTTAACGGGACAAAGTCGGTACAAACCGATGAAGAAGTGGATGAGGAACTCACTGCGACATCTGGCAGTCTCCCTCTGGTGGCGGTTGAAGACATTGATGCTGATTATCCTGTTGTTCAATGGGATACTTTCAATGACTCGGGATCGGCCGTCGATGCTATGATTGGAGAAGTTTCGTCTCAGCTGAGCTCGTCGCCGTCGAGTGATAAGTGTACGTCCCTTTCGATTTTGCATCGGGTGACCCGCTTTTTCCTGTCTAAAAATTTTTCGGACTGCTAACCTGGATTCTTCATACCGTTCGTCTTGTTGCTTTTATTTGTGATTGCACTGTTCACTGCAGACTCGAGTGATGTTGGTGTTACTCTAGCTATTGATCCTGGTACAGCTCCAGCTATTACTCCAGTTAAAGCTTCTGATGGGTTCTCTGCTGTTGCTTCAGTTAAAGCTTCAGCTGCTTCTTCTGCTATTGCTTCTGGTGCTGCTCCGGCTAAAGCTTCAGCTGCTTCTTCTGCTGTTGCTTCTGGTGCTGCTCCTGCTACATCTTTGACTACTGCAAACACCGGTAGGACTACTGCTACTGTAGCTGCTACCACTTCGGCTAAGGGCGCTACTGGTGTTGCTACCACGCCTGCTACTGCTGCAGCTGCAACTGCTGCTAAAGACCCGGCACCAACAATAGTTGAATCTACTTTACCGGATTCGTTAGAGGAGACGCTCAGTTATAGTGTCGTGGACTATGATTGGAAGGACGCGTCCCAGTGGGAATATGCGAGTGGATCGGCCGTGTCAAGAACCAGTGATATGATTACAAGCGGCGGGATTCGACTCACGCCTGAAAACAGTGCCGAACCAATCCGTACTATTGAAGGATGGAGCGGTGAAAAAGTCGTGTTCATCGAGTGGGAACGCACGAGCTCGAGTGATACCAACATTTGGATGTTAAACACAAAGTTGCAGTCGCAATTCGGCAAGGGGAACGGGTGGCCGTACTGGGGCGAGCTGGATCTATTCGAGATGTTTTCGCAGGACGCTGTCGATGTTCCAGCTAACGACTACAGTGGATTTGGAGGCTTTTCCGCCGTGTCGAGTTACGGCCAATCGACACTGCACATGGGACCTGCTACCGAGAACGGCAGTCCTTGTTTCTGCCCTGCGCAACCTTCCAAGAGTTCGTGGTACGGCAACACGCAACCCATGACGTCGGGCTGCACGGCCCAGTTTTCGAATGACGAGTCAAACTCCATCGCAGCGGTGTGGGGCTCCGACGCTACGGGCCAGTTCATTCAGATCATCCAGAAACCAACCATTACCAAAGGTGGCAAACTTGCGGGAGTCGATACGTACGATATTGCAACCGGTAGCGGTGGCGTCACGTCCAAGATTTACAATAATGCCGAACTCTTCTGGGGCATAGACGCTTCAGACGCGTGCGCCAAAGCTGGCGGTCACGATGCGACGAACGGGTTTCCTTTCTTCGAGAGCTTTCGCATTGTTTTGGAGGAGCAGAAGAAGAATGACAAGAGCGCGTCTTTTACCGTCACGAACATCCAGATCTTCACCAAGAACTAGGCCGCTGGGGATGGTGTATCAAGTTATACCAAACTATAGCCTCGGTTCGCCTTCGTTGTCGTTTTAGAAACAGCGTTCAGGTCGTTGTTCGTGGAACCACTGTTGTCTCTCGAGTGGAAGTCAGTCACTGTTCGCGTCTTGTACGTACGCGACGGGTCATTTGCCGCTGCTCGGGTGCGACTGAAGACTCGCTGCTAAAGCATGCGAATGGACCGCGCGACGCATCCAAACAAACTCTGGTAGGGCCCGACCAGCAGAGCCCAACACGATGTGTATCACTGGAACATCAGGCTACTGCTTTTGCCACGCCAGCAGCGTGTAGGCAACTATTCGACTACGTGCTCGTCATCCGTCGGTTCTTTCTCCGCATGCGCCGATATGAAGGTCCAACGCTATGCAACAGTTCAAGACCAACTGAGGCATTGGGTTGATGGCTCCGTGCTGTTTTCGTGCCAGTTCCAGTGCTTTTCAATCGAATGACGGGGATTCCAAACGTGCCTGCTTGTAGTTGATGCCAATTATCAAGTTTTTGACCAAAGGACCTACTGCAAACACATTGTAGTTAAGTGCACGTCAACGTTTTTCGTGATGCTACTGTTACTTTGCTTCGCGTCTGCTATCGCATACAAAGTATTGATCATCATGGCAAGAAACTTGTACGACCACGTCTGATTCAGTTATCCCTTAACGCCCGTATCTACACATGCTGAAAAATAATGAAGTCAGCACTCGATCTCATTTCGGAACTTGCTAAGACTTTTGCAGGAGAAATGCAAGAGTAGAAGCCGTTTTACTACCAAGCACGATGTTACAGAAAAAGGTGTTTTCCTAGCAGCAGCGATGAGAAAGCTGATGCCTGACGGGCATATACGAGTTCATACATTTGACATACATATCACGCGCTCTATTGCATGATCAACGAGACAGTAATGTGGAACATCTCTTTGCGTTAGAAGGAGACATTGCGAAAACATCGATGTGGTAGATGTCACAGATACTAGCCACTGTACTCACTCTTTCCATGAAGCTCCTGTGTAGAACTACCGCGTTCAAATCGATAATAATCATACATGTCATCAACCGCGACTTCAGCGCCGATGAGCTAGAAGATTAGGAGAGACGACGTATGCTTTGCGATTCCCTATGGCTTGAGTTCCACAGGTGCTATTTTTGAATTCAATGGCTCTCGATAATGTGTAAGACGGGTTCATGTCTTTCCATGCATATTCTGTTGCGAATGTCGACATCTTTATGCAGACGTTGGTCGTGTAATGCACTTCTGTATATCTGCACCAATACAATACCATCCATGCAATATACGTCTTACGTAGCAGCAGCACCACTTTTCAAACAAGACGCACAAGTTAGCGAAGTCCATGCTGACGACTACAGCAAGTTCCACGTTGGAATATCTAGGGTCGATCAAGTGCTGTCATGTCCCGGTTTGGTAAGTTTCCAAGCCACAATCAAGACTACAGCAAGAGCTTGTGACCACAATAGTCGCCTTTATGCGATGGTGTTGTTCTTCTCTACCAAGTTGACAGGGTTTCGTCTAACATAGCCAACATTCTGCGCGCAATTAGACGTTGTATTCGCAAGCCACTGTCTTCACACATTGTTCCAGTTACTTGTTGATGTAGCGACTCCACCACACCTTACTATAGCGAGCAAGCTCATGATTGTATGGCTTTGCGCAAAAGACGAAGTTTGGCCACTGTACTTTCTCAACGATACACTTGCTTGCCGCTTGTGGGTCACCTGTTAAACGTTACTATAGCCTCCTCTTACGCTACTACCAGAGTCCCCGATCGAATCGGAAGTAGCACTAGCATTCGATCATATGCAGTTTGTCAAGAAGAGACCAAGTGGAGGTTGACATTTTATGTTCAATAGCTTGAACGACTTGCCTATCACCGCAGTAGCTGCTTGCTCGAAGTTTGTGGCAGTAAGATGGTTCATAGATTGGGGGTTCCTGTTGTAAAAGTTGTGGAGGTTTAGCTCATAACCAGCCGGCCGTGTGTCCATTACTCGCGAGCTTATCACAGGTATCGAATCCCAGCTGCCTTGTGGTTCACTACAGCTCCGACATGTGATGTATGGAAATAGTTCTGTAGTTGCCGAACGAGTCCTTGCACCCATTCCTGCTCAGACAGCTAAGAACATTCAAAGCACGACGTTAACCTGCATACGAACGCACTCGGCGAATCACCTCCACTTTGAAGGGCGTACGACCCAGATGTTATGACACAATATTGCTGACGGTAATGGTAAGGCACACCGCATGTCTTCATGGACGATCCATTTGGTCATGGAAAAGACGGGTACGCCGAGAACGTTGGAGTGCGATGCGACCCATCAGAACATAAACTGGAGCTCGTGTGACGTTTAGGTACAATTTAGTGTCATGGGTTAGCAGAAGTTGACCAGTGCAATCGATAATGACCATCCAAGCGTTTGCAAGGCATGTATGTAACTGCACTACGTCACGATACAAATTCGAAGGCATCCGTACAACCGGCAAATGATCGGTGTACATTGGACTATGTCGGAAGTACAAAGGAGCTCAGGCATACCACATCAAAGCAAATTGGTATCGGAAGTTGTGGTCCCAGGGTAGGTGATGAGTTGACCTTCTGTTGACCACGGACTGTAGTTGGTTCTGTTTGCTTGATCATGTAGGCATTCCGGGTTCTGCTAAGTTTACGCTGTAGTGTCGTGTTCCCTTCACACCAATTTAGGTATAGCATGGAGCTCACGGTTTCCATGCCTTTCTTGAGCCGACGAACGCTGTTCTCGGTGACGATTTGCAACAACTATACACTCTGCATCATCTTCAGCACATTGTGCGGCTGTCGATAGTCGATAGTAACCAGCACAGCTTTCTCACATGTACCACATTTGTCTCACCTACCAGCAAAACTGCCACGCCGAGCGTAGATCACCTATCGCTCATGCCACATGGTTCTTTGTTCCGAGCGAACATCAGGTGCATCAAAACTCGTGCTCGAGGATGCACGACATTTGTACGAGCAACACGACGGAACGCTCTACCTCCGATCCACACATCACAAAGCCTTTGCTATCACTAAGCACCGTCATGTCTTTTGCTTTCCAATCATGTACTTATTCCACGACAGGCGACTCACTGATTGAAGTTCCGTCTCGTTCGCAAAACAAGACGCGAGGAAGACAAACGAACATCAGGACCGATTCCGATCGTCTTCTTCCGCTTCGTAACTAATTGGTTGACTACGACTTTCTTGTCGATTGTGCCGAGTCTGCCAGTCTTCTAGCAGTATTCTTGTAGTACTACCACTTGTTTCCTATCAGTAAAACTCACAAGACCGCAGTCAAGGGTGCAGCTCAGCTATCGACTCTAATTATCAGATCAAAAACACACAAAATGACGCAAAACAGCATCCCCGCGTCGTTGGAATCAGATCTTGACCGAATATCTCGATATTTCTTTTGTACGTTGGAGACACCAGGATCGCACCTGAGCGACTTGATCTCGAGTACAAAAGTCCGGTGACTCAAAAGCCTCTCCAACAGCATGGAGCTCCGCCGTGACCATCACTCCACCTCGAGTCCAGGGCCATCCGGCCGGCCCAAGCGCAAACCTTCAAGCGCTGTCACTATGGGAACCGCGTTACGCGTGAAACGTCGACGTGTGGACTCGTCGGATGTATCAGCAGCGTCTCCTGCTGTCTCAAGCGCTGGCGTTGAGCGTCAGTCCGCAGCTTCCACTCGGCGTCAAGTGGCGATTCAGCCACCGACGCGTTCTGTTGCTCGAGCAACTTTAGCTTGTGAAAAACGTGCTTTTCAAGAAAAGTTGTTGGCTGAGCCAAAAACAAAGAGTTCTGTTTTAAAAACGTCACTACCACTTTTTAGCCGATATGCGGATCCATCGGTACAGAGTCCACAGTCGCGTCGTCGCTCAAGAGGTCAGGTCGAAGGCGTCCGGGAGGCAGCAGCCGAGTACAATGTACCTTGTGGGTCGTCGTTGTCATTGTCGTCCCCGTCTGGTGATAAAAGCACTGAAAAACAGCCGACTGGATCAAAATCGCTTTATATAAAAAGCAAAAGTGAAGATCAGCATGGCGTTGATAGGTGTTCACTTGTGGAGCACGGACCGAGTCCAGAGATGGTGGAAGGAGACGATATCTTACAGACTCTCTTGGGTGTGAGTACGCCTCGCGTGCCGCGCCGATTTCCGTCGGAAGACGCACTAACGGATGGAGAGCAGAGAGATCGAGAAGCGCTTCGTCGACGGCGACAGCAATTGCAGCGGGAGTTCTCCGTGATGAAGGAGGAGAAGCAGGAGACGTTTGATGGTTTTCGGGCGAGCAATGCTGGAGCTGGTGGGACGTCGCTGGTGCCGAGTCAAGAAGGAACGAGAAGGAAGAGGAGTTTTACTTCTTGTGTGTGGGAGCAAGGAACTCGACATTCACATGATGGAGGGGTAAAGGACAGCCGAGATACTGTTGTTGGGGGAAGAGAGAAGGACGTGGGTGGGAGTCTGCAGTTGATGGATGAGGAAGTGGAGACCGATGAGGAGACGACCGAGAGCAAGATCAGACGCTTGGGCAAGGTGATGTCCATGAACTGGCGGCAGTTCTTTATGTGGCTCGTGTCGGGTGCGGTGCTGCTCTGTGCGATGGTTGTCGCTGTGCCATTTGTGAAGAATGTGCTGAAGCCAACTCTTCCGTACTGCGACAGCGAATGGCGTGAGGTAGATGAGGGCACTTTTGTGTTGGCTGATCCAGCCGACGCTTTTGATCGCTCAAAAGCACTCCAGCCGTTTATCAGCAATGCTGCAATGGAGTCACACGGCTCGGGATCCTCGTGTCAACCATGCCCTGTGTATGGGAACTGCCTCAATGGCTCTATTATATCGTGCGCTTCGCCCTATGAGTTGCAGCATGGATTGTGCAAGGAGAGCCCGGAAGTGCAGGCAAGTCTCAACCAACTTGCGTTCTACATACGGAAGGTCATTGTCGAAAAAGCTGCCAAGAGCGCGTGCGATAACGTCTCGATTTGGAACTTTCTCTACGCGGATGGCGGCGCATCAAAGCCTGCGCGTGACGTTACGGCACCGGTCGAAGTGTTGCTTTCGGATGTGCAGACTTTTGTGGCACAAACGTCTTTGGTCGAAGAGGCAGTGCCAGAATCGTCCCGTGACTATGTCTTTAATCGTGCCTTAGACATGGTCTTGCGTGACCTCAATGACATTTCTGTGACCGAAGACCAGAGTCAGCTCCTGGTAGGCAATAGAGCCGTGCCGTTGTTCTGCCGCGCTAGGCATCAACTGTTCACGCATACTAAGCTCATGTTACTAGCTGTCGCATTGGGGACAGCACTGGTGTCCGCTTACCGACAGTTCCTCGTGTACCGCACGAAACGTGAACTTGTGGACCGATTTGTCAAGGAGGTGCGCTTTCTCCTCTTGGACCAGACGCGTCGGCCAGATCGATTTTACCCGGTCGACCTTCTTCGTGATCACCTGTTCGCGAAACAATCTTTTCAAGACCGAGCATGGCTATGTAAGTCCGTCTGGCCAGCAGTTGTCACTGCTGTGAAGAAGGACTCCCGGATAAGCACGCGGACGATGCGGTACGTTTGACCGGAGCTTTACATTGTAGACAAGATTGATGCTTTTTGAGCTAACAGCCGACGTTTTGATTGTGTGCTGAACAATGCAGGGTGCGTGGCAAAGATATGATTGTGTGGGAATGGGCTTCATCGCCGTCGCGAAGTTATCGGCAAGCTGGGAGTCATCAAAGTCGTAAATCTCGCATCCCTAAGCTGCTGGAAGGAAGTGGTGGAAACACTAGAGGGGTTCCACTTGGACGACGCAAGAAGGGAAGTCGGATGAGCCTACCGTAACCTTCGTCTGCTCTACGTTTGCTCACCGATGACTTGAGCAGCACGAAACTAATAAACCTGCATGTCTGCCTACCCTTCGCTCGCGACAGCTGAAGCTTTGCAACATTGGGGGCCAGCCTTTATCATCTCGCCGCACACGCAAACGCAGCTGTCTGCTGCTCAGCTGCCAGACAGCAGCCTCCTTTCGAGCTGCGACCGCATCTTTCATTCCAGGAAATGCACCCAGTGGCACGATTACCGTTGCACGAGTAATAGCCAAGGTCCTGATCGCCCGGACAATATTAGTATGGTCATGACTGCCTGCAAGTTGTGCTTCCCTCAGCTCCAACACCTGCCAAGCTACACACTTTCACCATGTTGGTGTGCAAGTGCACGGGTGGTAAGCGAGCCGTCAATCGTAATGACGTGGATCAAGTTTGGTTTTTGACAAGTATTTCGGCCGGTTGATCGACGTTTTTCTTCCAAATTCACACACTACTCCCATCTCCAAGCGCGATTCCGTACTGGTTTACCGTTTACGAGCATCATCGATCGTTCACTTGTCAGATCCCGATACAGCTGCAACTATGTGTGATGTGAGCATCAATAGTTGTGTGTCAACTTCAAATGCTCACATCACACACAGGGCGAGTATATGACCTATTGAAGCTTGCGAGGAGTCAGAGACGTATTACATCATCTAGGGCCGCCACAATAGTATGGAAAAGACAACGTTGCTGTCCAGACTAATAACAGCAGCAGTACTTGCAATACATGTTTAGCCTAATCTGACGGGTTAATGGAGACTTGTCGTGAATGAGATCGGTGCGTCAGCCGTACGGGATATAACAGCTTACATATTTTGGGATACGTTAGCGGAACGCAAGCTACTACGGGTAATCTCAACATCATGACCAAGTTCCGCTACTGTAGCCAAAGCATCTACAACATCAGCCTGGCATAACATCGACAACGTTGTCTTGCGGGCTATTGAGCTCGTTAGTAAGTATCCGCGTTTGACTGATATAATGCGGGCTCGCTGAGCTGTAGGCTGACAAAACCGCAGCTCGAGATAAAGATCGCGAAGGTCCCGTTAAAAAAGCGATACAGGCCAAACGACTTACCAAGTGTAGCGGAGTTCCAACCTTCACGAAGTACTTTAGCACGTCGTTCATCTGAAAAACACCCAAAGGATGATGTAGCCTGCTAAAAACGCATGTGTTGTGCCTGACCGGCCCGACGTCATGGTCAAGCTTGAGGTGGGCCAATTTATGTTGGAAATAGTAATGGATGAGATGGACCCGACATGATGTTTTCACTTCGTGGACTCACACTTTTTAATCTATTGTCGCATGCAAGACTCTCTTGACGTCATGCCGAGAAGTTCCTTCATATACGGCGTCAATCTCCATTCTCCGTCTTGTGTTTCATCTCGACCGCGCTGCTTGTCAGTACTTTGATTTTCCCGTTTGTTTTGCACGGAAAAAGGGGCAATGGCAGCCAGTGTATACTTTTCGAAAGGGTCAGGTCGAGACATCTCGCCGCAGGGAGCCTGGAGCTGCTAGTGGAGGAGAGATGCCACTACAATGGACGCGAGAAGGAGACACATGAGGCGCACGGAAACCTTCAGTCATCCACGCTGTAAAATACAATGTAACAAATGACACCCCCGCAACCTCGTTATTCTTGATCTACGCTAAGATGCGCAATCACTATAGGCATAATCGCTTTCACAGATCGTTTTATGCGTGTGCGCGCGCCGTGGGGGATCCCTTCCGGATCATCTGAGACCAGTTTATGATGAGGCTGCTGGTTACATGCGCATGAAACGGTACTGTGCTTCTATCCGTCTATGTGCTGCGAAAGGATAGTCGATATGCATGCTGCTAAAGCACAGAGGACCCTTTCCAAAACAAGGTTTGTCATCCGATCTGGAGCTTGGCAACGCTATGGGTAGATTTTGTCATACAATGTGAGAATGCCCAACAAAAGATGCAAGTGGGTAAGTGTGATGGTATCAAATGACGAACGGTTGTGCAAAATGAGTTTATACCAAACCAGGGCGAGTCATGTTGCCTCATTCACGCAAGTTGAAGCTCATGGTAAAAGAAATGTCGATTGTTCCGCCCATCTTGCAGTGCGCTTGGATGACTTGCTATGACTGCACAACGCGGAAGTCGAAAGGTTGAACTCAACCGATCGTACTTTCATTGATAAACTTGCACCCAAGATGCATGAATATAGTCATAAAACCTTCTGTTCGACATCAATTGACAATTCTGCCTGTTGCTACTAAGTCTTCGGTGAATGCCGCCCATGGTCTTCGAAGTACAAACCACTAGTCAGGTTTTTATGCAGAAATGCGAACAGCTAATTGCATGCAATGCCATGCCTGACATGGAGATGATAAACGCAATGTACGCCCTTAAGCACAGGGGTTGTACTGCGTAAGTGTATGCGATGGACCTATGTGTTATAGATAAATGACAGCTAGATGGCAGCTGATGACGATTGCTGGTAGTTGATGATGTCCGGCGTATCTGGTGGCGGTGGGTATACCCACGTTTGACAGTTCCAGGGTTTGATGACAAAAGGTGACGGAATGTTGTGTAGACTCGTGGTCACACGTTGTACTTGCCACCTAGGAATCCTACAGAATTTCACGGAGCTTTTACAGTACGACAGTAGGACTTGTATGGTAACAATGAACGACAGTTCCAAAACACCCTCGTGTTACCCAGGGGTTCTCTTGACAATAATGTGTACTTGTCATGTATGCGTTTTGATTCAGATTTGGAGGTTGCATCAGTATTGGCGGTTAGCTTTTTAGTATCCGTGGCGTGGTCGATAGCCACGCAGCCCTGCAGAGGATGTGTATGCTTCACCGATGACGTCCGAGGATGGTCGTCAGAATACAGGATGTAACCCACTATAATAAAAAAGCAATAAGCGTTCCTTCTTTCCATTGCTTTATCTTTCGCTGATGCTCAAATGTCGTCATTTTACTTACGTGCACAAAGCCCTTTATCGAGGCGGATATTCTCGACGAGAACTCAAAGCATTTAGTCTTATGTACACTACCAAAAGATAGGAAAGCAAGTTGTGGAGCTCGCCACATTGCAGAAGTGAAATTAAGTTGTGGAAGCATTGTTGCCACCGAGAGAGTAAAGTGATTATCACTTCTTACTGATTTAGTTTTTTATCAATACTACGGATGAAACCTTCTCCACAGTACGTATGCTGGAGGTGCGAGGGGTTCGCTGCCCCCAACTGTCGAGCTTTTGCCTCTTTTCCCTTTGTACGCCCTTTGGTAACTTTTGAGTTTTAATGGATGACTATTGATGCGTGTGTCACTCACACTTTCTACGCGGTGGCAACTAGTGACCTGGTCAAAGAGCTGCACCTATAATACGTATCGATCTACGAGGATGGGATAGGCTACATCACACTTATTTCGACATGCAGGATACACCAATCAGGACATACAGACAAGACTGGCAGATACACACACGGTCAGAAAGTTTATTTTTAAAAGCTTTAACCTTGCGCACACTCCCGAATAGCTTTACCCATCGAACTCGCTATAATAAACGCCTGAAAAACACAAGATTGTTGGAGTTTACTCTGACCATGGTACTTCTCAGCTAGCTTGTCCTTCTTCCGCATGTATTTCTGTGCTGCATTGCAATCACTCGCTCAAGCGCGTCCTGGACTCACTCAACGAGTAAATTTTTGATATTTGGCGCACCACTTTCTTGTGATAATCATCGAACTGTCATTATTATATTGTCAACGCATTGGATAGTTCCGAGTCCGTTGTCGTAGCATTTCCACCCGCAAAAACAGTCGCGATTATGAGACTGCGGAGTAGCCGTCCCATGGTAGGTACTCTCGGAGCGACGAGTTGTATGTGGTTGTGGGATTATTGCTGACTGAGCGTCTTTCATGCTCACACTCATCGACAGAAACTGAAGACGACAGCAAGTGCAAGCAATGGGAAGCCACAGTGAGCTGGCTTTTTAAATAAAGATGAGGCTACGCGGACGACAGTCGGCAACGAGTATAAAAACGTCTGACGTCGCCCTTCTTGCTTGGTCTGAGATGCTACAGATACTTCTATGCAGGACATAATCGACAAAAAAAGCTCAAGCAGACCTCGCAAAAGATGTGAGCCGTACTGTCGCCACTGGACAGCATTTATGGACGACGGAGTCTCGTGTGCCATCGCGTAGCAAGTTTAGAGCAGACTTCTCGTATATTCGACAAGAAGCACAATGGATCAATATAGACACCTTTCTGGTCTACTTACGCCTGACCGATCAACCAACGGGATGTTCAACAGTTCAAGTAATGAAGTGCTCAAAAAGATCTGGCTAGCTGAGCATGTGGTGTGTTGTTGCGGTACGCAGGTAGGATAGCCTCACAGGTCGTAGCTCTAGGACGAGTAATATCTGCGATTTGTAATACTCAGGAAAGCGCGTCTGCTAACGCACGCATTCGTCACTTTATCTCGATTTGCAAACTTTCTTCTGTCTCAGATGGCGGATACACGCACAATAGAATGATCGATCAACGTTATTGCAGTGGTGTTTAAACTACGCTCTAGTTCTCACGGCTGGAACGCGGTTCATCTGCGAATGCTCTTTTGAGACGAATCGATCCATCCTTTTTGCTCCTATGTTCCTTGCTGGAGGGAAGCAGTTCTCGCGGCTGGGGTTGATGTAAAGTTTACCGCGGCAAACTACATTTGCACACTCCCATCCATCGGCTGCTTCATTTAGCGCACATATATGCCAGTGCGACGACATGCAGCGAGCAAGATCATCTTGGGCTTTAGTTTGGCCAGTGATCATACAAAACACGTTAATGACGATCTTTAAACTAGGAGTCCAGTATACAGATTGATGACTTTTATCGTGCAAACGCGGTTCGATTCTACGCTTGCTTTCATGGTACCCTTAAGAATCTAGCCCCGAACTCGTATGCTATGCTTCGTAGTCGTCGAGCCTGCCTAGAATGTACATAAACTCCGTAAAAATCTCCGCCGTTCAATCCGCTGCGCTTGCAAATATCGTCTTGTCACGACAATGTGATACTACAGAAAGTTAGTAACTCGGTTCTTCCTCGCATACGCTAAAAGTTTGACTATCCTCGCTCTGGATGACGGGCCTTCCAACCCGAACAGTGCGGCTTGTCAGATGAGCTTGTGAACATGTCCAGCAACATACGGTGCCAACGATCGAGCTCAGCGCCTCCTAAAGTACCCTGTGCGTTTTTTTTCGCCATGCACAGCACATACTATCTCATCCGCGTGCGCAAGCGTTATAGCGGTGCATGTACAGCATAGCCATGACGACAGAGTCGCAGATCGTACAGGTGATCGTCGTACTTTGCACACACTATTTCGTCACTATGACAGCTCCAAAATTTCAGCAAAGCTTCTGACGAAAAGGCTCTTGGCAATCGACAACCTTATCCTCATCAGGAGACACATACCCGCAACTGTATGCATGCAATCCAGGAGTTGGTTTATGTAGGCACTACATGAGCTGTCCTTTACTTGTGACTTCGAACGCGTCGTGGTCCGTCTGCTCAATATTGTCGGCGCATTGCCGGAAGCGCTCACGGATTGCGATAGATTAATGCGAATCGCAGCTGCCTCTGTCACTGTAAGCCTATTCTCATTGCTGTCTATATGTAGCTGTTAAAATGGTACTTGCTGCTACTTCCACGGCTGCCATCTACTCAGAGACACTTTGTCACAGTGATAAAAAGTGCGCTGGCTGTGCTCAGGTTACTAGACCGCTGGTCGTAATGAGCCACGTCTCCCTGCGCTTCGTGACCAGAGACGCGGCCCTTTATTGATCACTTCGTGACTGCACAACTGATGACTTTGCAGCTGCCAGGCTTTTCCACTACCTGTGTGTACGCTTGCTAGTGGACCAATCCGCGAATGTGGAGCGTGGTCGTGGTCGCTGGCATTTCCTGATCTTCCGACTTCATTAAGTGGATCCGAGCTCTGCATTGCCACCGTGATCGACTCTCGCCCCACAAAGAATATCCTGCGTGATTAGATGCCCCCTGGCATCGGAGTGTGTTGAGAATACGCCGCTTCGTGCAGTCGTTTCATGTTGGGTTCATGGTGATGATATCTGTGTCAGGGTGTTTCATGGTGGTTATTACGGAAGAAGGTTATGGATCGCGGTTACATGATGAGATCACAGGATGTCGTTACATTAAGGCTTAGACTTAGCTAAGGGTAGTGAACTAAGGACCTTAAATATATTCACTTCGGCTTTTACATCCAACTACCCCAACAGGTTAACAGCCGCGACTCGGACAGCGGCGTCAAGACCAAGAACGCCTCGCCTCGCACGGATCGCACATGAAAAGTACCAAGCGCGCCGAAGTCCTCCTAGGAAGTGGAAATTATTTCCATTGGGAGTTCAATATGAGGATGTCGCTCGCCAGAAAAGGACTGCTGGCGCACGTGGAGGTGGTCAAGGCGGAGAGTGAGATAACGGAAGCTTGGTTAGTAAATGACGCAAAGGCTCTCGGCATCATCGCGCAGGGTGTGGAACTACAACACCAGACAAAGATCCGTTCGTCGACGCGTGCTATTCAAGCGTGGGTAACACTTAGGGAGTTCTACAATCGCACTACACTCCACAATCGGGTCACGATGACACGGCGCCTCCACGAATTCAAGATGGATGCTGGAACTGTAACGGGGCACCCTGAAGCTTGTACTGGTGACAGTACAAGCTACTTATTCTGATAACAGAATAAGGCGGTGCCTCGTAACTTCACGTACACTCGTACGTGCAGAGGAAGACGGTAAGAAGAAGCGAGTACTTGGTTAGAGTAAAAAGTAGAACTGTATTTATAATAGTTAATGTCTGCAATAAATCACTATTTATCTTCATCTAACTATGTCTAAATAAAAATGTGTAAATCAGTTATCTGCTCACCACTCATTGCGTGCGTCTGTCGTGGCGCGTCTTCGTTGGTTGATATAATGGCCTATATCAACCAATTAGGAACTACTTGGAAGTGCTACAGAATATTGTCCTTATGACAATATTCTGAGAATATAACTCTTATAGTTATATTCTATTAACAATTTCTTATAAATTGTTATGTAACGATTCACCCCGTTACATCACCCCCCTTAACCATCAGTCACTTTAGTGACTGATTGACTAAATGGATACTCGTCCCAAATCATTTGGGACGGGGTTTGCACTTGTTGGTCCGCGTCCACTTTCCAACATCTCATCGCATGGTAAACAAGCCCATGCGATGCGCGAGCAAGGCCGCCGAGAGCGCGTCTGCACGTCTCTGTGCGGACGCCGAAGCAGAAACTACAGCAACTGATGTCCCATCGGTTGCTGAAGCGACTCAGCCTGTATCACCTGGTGATGCAGGCGCTGGTCATGAAGACACTCGTGTCTTCACAGAGTACGAGCTCGGTGTCTCGTACTCTCCTGATACGGATGACGGATCCGTATCGACGGCAATTGAATCCAAGCCGCCTGCCAAGCGTGGCATGGACGATGCTTTGCGTCGCAGCATCTTTGGTTCATCTGATGAGTCAGATGAACCATCGCCGAAGCGAAGGCGCTCGAGGTCGCGAGACTCGGGCGCTAATAGTGGTGTCGTTTCTCCAATGGACACCACTTCACAGCGAGGTGCCAGTACTTCTGTCGGCACGTCGCAGGAAGAGCGGGACCGCAATGTGTTGCGTCTCGCTCCAGAAAAGAAGGCATGGATGCCTCCTAAATCTGTCATGGATCACTTGTCGGCGACGACGAGTGATCGTTATCGAACACGATTGTTCGATTCGTCGAGGATTCATCACCTTGACCCCAGCGCGAAAGACTATCGCGCTGAACATGAGTTCTTCATCGATGCTTTCTTCAGACATCGATGGTACAGTGGGAATCACAAACGTGATGGTCCCTCACTACTTCAGGCGTGGAACGCCTACATCCATAATCTCGAGGATGTAGGTCGTGACGCTTGGAACGACAAACTTATCAAAGCTCGTGATAAGTTTGAAAAGCGAACCCCGACAGGTGCACGCTACAAGCTGCATCGTCTGTCAAGGGAGAAAGGATTACCCTGCCTCTCATGGGGAGACTCGTGCCCATGTTGTGTGAACAACTCTGCACGAGCACCTAAGGAGGCTTACCTCCTTACCAGCCCGTGGTGGCGCGTACGTATCTCTACTGAGATGTACGAAGGGATTGACAACCTGAAATCCCTTTACGACCGTGCCGGGAAGACTTTCTCCGGCGGTACTTCTGCGGCACAGGATGTGCCGCGTCGTACTGCTCAACCAGATCCAGTACGTCGATCATCAGTTGGGAGCGGGGCTCCCAAGAATCCCATGACGGGGGATAGCCGCGCCACCGGACGAGGTAACTCGTCCGACGTCCGTTCACGTCGCGGTGGTTCAACAGCTGCTCAACTAGATAGCGCTGGCCACCGCGAGAGTCCTCTAATGGAGGTGGAGGAGGAGGAAAGACGCTCTCCACACGATCATGTGGATCGGTGTGTTCCCGAGAGCTTCTTTGATCGCGTAACGCAAGGGTTACGCGACGATCTCGAGCATGAGCGGAATAGGCGTCTCCAGATGGCGGACACTGCCTCGAAGCATCGAGCTGAGTTTGCCTTTGCTCAGCTTGAGAACGAGAGATCTCTGACATCTCTTCGTGACGAGCTAAGGGTAGCTCGTGGGATTGTTGATCGGTCTCGGGCTGAGATAACTGCTCTTCAGACCCTTGTTGATGCCCACCATCGGGAGCACAAGGCTCTCTGCGAGATGCTTGAGCGCAAGGGCGTTCTTCATCGGAAGAAGCAGCGTACTGATGGTACGGCTTAAGCCGACCAACGTAAAACGTGGGATGCGTTCGCATCTTACGTGGTAACTCGATCGTGTATGCATTGCCTAGGCGGTGCAATACACGAAATGGGCCAATGTACTTGGGTAGTAGTTTACTGCTACCCAAGTTAGTCACTACATGTTTTGGTAGATTAACCGTAGACAGTAGGACTAAGTCACCTTTATTAAATAAAAGAGTGTTTGCCCTTCCATTCTTGTCAGCGTTTTGCTTTTGCTTATCCACCGCTTCGGCGATGGAGTCTTGCACAAAACGGACTACCGTTTCACGAGCCAGTATGAACTCATCTGATGACTCGTTAGCTTCAGTGTGCTGTGAGCGCACTGCAGCGACAACAACCTTTTCTTCAGTGAGGGCTTCCGCACTCTCACTGGGATCATTGTCGTCAGTGAGGGCTTCCGCACTCTCACTGGCATCATCTTCTTCGATATCGATATCGGCATCAAACGCAATGACTTCTTCGTCATAGCGTGATGAGCGTGAACCAATTCGGTTTTTGCTCGCGCGAGTCCCTCCCCCCCTTAAACCAGAGTTACACTCTAGTAAGGTGGGTACACGCGGATGGCGCAAGCCATTCACGTAAAACGGTGTATGTGTCGTGGACGCGTGCACCGAGTTGTTGATGGCAAACTCTACCATCGGCAAAAACTCACTCCAACTCTTAAAGGAGTGGACGTATCCTCGAAGTATCTCTTCAAGGACACGATTGGCACGTTCCGTCTGACCATCTGACTCTGGATGATCAGATGTTGACATCTTCAAGCGCGTTCCGAGTGATTTGAACACGGAACGCCAGAAATCAGCAGTGAATCGTGGATCTCTGTCTGATACGAGTTCACGGGGCAACCCATGAAGTCGGAAGATGGTGTCAATAAAGACACAAGCACAGCCACTTGCCGTGATTGTCTCTGGTACAGCCACAAGGTGTACCATTTTGCTGAATCTGTCAACAAATACGAGAATACCCGTATTCCCGCGTGCGTCTTTGGGTAACCCGAAGACGAAATCCATTGAGATGGATTCCCAGCACTCAGCCGGAACCGGTAGAGGCTGTAAAGGTGCACGCAGTGAAGGACTTGACTTCACTCGTTGGCAGACTTCGCATGCGCGAACATACTTTCGCACAAACTGATACTGGCGGGGCCAGTAAAAGTCTCGACTTACCGTGAGATATGTTTTCTCTCGGCCACGATGTCCTCCTATAGGAGCATCGTGATACTCGAACATGATCCGCAAACGCAGATCAGTATCATCTGGAATGACAACACGTGGTGTGTCACCAGAAACGGCTGTATAGTACAGTAAACCGTTACGAGTAGTGTATCGATCTGATGCAGATCGATACACAGACGACAATCGTTTCAACGATTCTCGAGATGGTTGGGAGAGATGTGACAACAACTTCACTATCTCACCATCTTGGGCGTATGCCCGCCTCACATCATCATACAACGTTGTAGATGGAACTGAGGACGTCATAACCGCAACAGTGACTGTCTCACTGTTGGGTTTCGCGACTGTTTCAAAGTCGGGACGACGTGAGAGTGCATCAGCGACGACATTAAGTCGTCCTGGTTTGTACTCGACCGTAAAGTTGTATTCTGCAAAGAATGACAACCACCGCGCCATTCGTTGTGAAAGGTGCGGGCTGTTCACTGCCGTGCGTAAGGACGCATGGTCAGTGTAAACAACGAAGGGTCTATCTCCTAATAGATAGACTCTGAACTTCGCGAGTGCATACTTCATGGCAAGGAGTTCCTTGTCATGCACTGGATAGTTCCGCTCAGCTGGTTGCAGCTGACGCGACTGATAGCAGACGACGCGTTCAACTCCTTCAAGGTCGTACTGCATTAATGCACAGCCGATTTCGAAATCGCTGGCATCACAGACCACATGAAATGGCCTGTCCTGATCGGCTATTGCTAGGACTGGGGATTGTATCAAGCTCTGCTTGATACCCTCAAAGGAGCGTTGACATTCAGCGTTCCATAACCACCTCTCGTTCTTTTTCAACAAACGAGAGAGGTGTACAGTCATCTCGGCGTAATTGCGTGAATACTTATGCAAATACGCCGCTAGCCCAAGGAATTTTCGAAGACCTTTGACATCGACCGGCACGGGCCAGTCGGTGATCGCCTTGATCTTTTCGGGATCAGGACGTACACCGTTCTTACCAACGATGCACCCAAGAAGTGGTATTTCGCTTGCTTCAAATATACACTTCTTGAGGTTTGCATACAATTGATGCTTTCGCATGATTGTAAGAACTTGTCGGACGTGGTACTTGTGAACCTCAACGTCCGACTTTCCATCCATAGCTCGACTATGGATGAATACGTCATCGAAATAACTCGGCGCGAATTCTCGTACTGGCCTCAACAGATGTGATACACACCTGTTGAACGTGGCAGGGGCATTACTGAGCCCTTGTGGCATTACTAGCCATTCCCAGAGCATGCCGCTAGGCGTGCTAACTGCGGTATAGGGTATATCCCGTTCCCGCATTAGGATTTGATAGAAGCCATCCATCAAATCCATGGACGAAAAGATGGTACTCTTTGACATACCATCAATGATTACGTCCTTCCTCGGTATCGGCGTCTGAGCCGGTACCGTTGCAGCGTTCAATTTGTTAAACGCGTGCACTATCCGCCACCCTCCTGTTGCTTTTCGCACACAGAAGGTCGGAGAGCTATGTGGGGAAGTTGATTCCCTCCACATGGCCCGCTGCTAAACGATCGGCAAAGAACTTGTCGATCGCAAGTACTTGTTCACGAGGCAGTGGCCACTGCTTCATGACACAGTACTTCGAGCCTGGTTTAAGCTCGACTTCGTGTCGAATACCTTTATCCTTCGGTAATTCGCACGGAAC